CTCCAGTCTGGGCGGCAGAGTGAGACTCCCATTCAAAAAAAAAAAAGACAATAAGGTGGGTGGCAATTCTAGTTTCAAGCACTAGCTGCTGACTCGGGCTAAAAAGGCAGAAGGAAGTTTGCTGAAACCATCTCAGGCAGTCCACAGGACTTCCAGGGGGTGGAGAACATCAGCTCAAGGCTGGACCAGAATGACCCCATGGTCTGTGTCGGTCTTCCCCCATCAGGAAAGCGCCCTGCTTGCTGCAGCCCCTTCAAGCACTGGAGAAAGCCACCACAACCCCTTTCTCCCATCCAGGCGCCGCCCAGGCCCAGTTTTTCCTAGCTTCCAACATGGAGCACGTTCAAGCTGGCATGGCCATAGACGGCACTGGGGGTTTTTTAGGCCAGGACTGCGAGGCCTAAAGGCAGGCTGCGTCTGCCACTACCTTTGACAGCGAAATGGATTCTGCACGTGTCTCCTTCCTGGAAATCCTAGTCTCGCACCTAAGATGAGCCTGACTGGTAAACCCGGGTCCCAGGCTTATGCTCTGGATGCAAGGCAGTCCCCTGCATTTTGGGGAGGCTCTACTTGGACTTCCCAAAAATGAAGGGTAGAAGCTACCCCCAAATCACATGGGTATTCAGTAGTGCTGGGCAGCCAGAAAACAGAATGCCTGCGAAGGGCAGTATAAAAGAGAAAACTAGACAGAGGAGAGAAAATATTTGCAACAAGTATGACAAAAACAAGAGGAAATTGACATCCTCGGTGGTTAAAAAAAGCTTGACGTTCACAATAAAAACAAGCAACCAATTTAGAGCTGATCAAAGGATACAAACAGGCATGTACAAAAATACAAACAGCCCACAAACATATGAAAGGATGCTCAACTTCAAGAGCAGTGAAAGAAAAGAAAACGAAATCCAGGCGATACCACTTTGACCCACCATACTGCCCAGATTGAAAAAGAATGGCAACTCATTCTTTTTAAAGCGTGAGCGCCTGAAGAAGCGTGCTTCACAAGCCGATGGCAGAAGTGTGAATCTTATAATCTTTGGCGAAAGGAATGTACTCCTATCTTGAACGACAAAAACACGCACATGTTGTGCTCTAACTTGTGCTCTAACACACTCTACTTCTGGCGTCTGAAACCACCAGTAGATAAGATTCATGTGTAAGGAGGTTTTTTCATAGTATTGTTTGTAGCGTCAAAACCTGGAAACTGCCATGTCCATCAATAGAATAAGAGTTGAATAACATCTATATCAGGCAGCATGCAGCTCCTGGAAAGAAAGTTTTAGAGTGTAAACTCCGTAGGAGTTGGGGTCTTGCTTTTCTTAGTCACTGCCACAGAATACGGTCAGACATTTAGCAGCTACTAAGTAAATATCCCCCTAATGAGTTTTGACCTTGAGGCAAAACCATATTTTCTTTTCTTTTTTTGAGTTGGAATCTCACTCTGTCACCCAGGCTGGAGTGCAGTGACATGCTCGCAGCCACCTCAGCCTCCACCGGCTGGGATCAGGTGATCCTTTCATTTCAGCCTTCCAAGTAGCTGGAACTACAGGCAGGCAGCACCATGCCCGGCTAATTTGTTTTCTGGGTTGGTCTCACTCTGTCACCCGGGCTGGAGAGTTGTGGCATGCTCATGGCCACTGCAGTCTTGACCTGCTGGGCTCAGGTGATCCTCCTGCCTCAGACTTCCAAGTAGCTAGAACTACAGGTGCATGCCACCATGCCTGGCTAATTTTTTGATTTACTGTAGAGATGAGGTCTTGCCAAGTTCCACAGGCTGGTCTTGAACCCATGGGCTCAGGCAATCCTCTCATCTTGGCCTCCCAAAGTGCTGGTATTTTAGGTATGAGCCACTACGCCTGGTCTAGTTTTTTGGTTTATTGTAGAGATGAGGTCTCACCAAGTTGCCCAGGCTGGTCTCGAACCCGTGGGCTCAGGCAATCCTCTCACCTCGGCCTCAAACCATATTTTCAATCAAAAAAGGTAATTTAAGAGTAATGTGCATGAGAAAACAAAACCAGGTGAAACCTCTACGCCAGCGGTCCCCGAACTTTTGGAATCAGGGACCAGTTCTGTGGAAGGCCATTTTCCCACGGATGGGTAGGTGGGGGGCGTGGGATGTGCAGTCCAACCTCCCTGCTCAAGTTCGTCTGTGTTCGCAGCCGCTCCCCAGCACGAGCATCCCCGTCTCGGCTCCACTCAGATCTCACAGGGAGCGGCAACCTGGATCCTTCGCGTGCACAGTTCTCAACAGGGTTCGCTCCCAGGAGCATCTAGCCCTGTGGTCTTGCATGGGATGGCGAGTGGCTGTAAATACAGACGCAGCTTTGCTCCGCTGCCTGCTGTGCGGCCTGGCTCCTAACAGGCCATGGCCTGGGACCGGTCCACAGCCCAGGGGACGACCCTGCTCTACACGCTTTTGTGAGCACAGAGGTGAGCATGGAAGCTGGCTCAAACTAGTGACTCACTCGTGGTGGTTACAGACCTGTGGCCAGAGGGGGGTCGAGGGGCAGAGGGTGGGATTAGATTGGGAGAAAGATGAGTGACTTTTATGAATGGCTCTTTGTTTGAATTGTTATGATAAATATCTTCCTTTTTTCGTTATCTTCACGTGATCCCTCTTTTCCTGCATAGGAATCTAAGCTTGAGAGGAATCTAAGCTCTCCCTTCTCTTATCAAACACTCATTCCTCTGTACCTGGCTTGTGCTCCCATCACTTAACTTACAGAACTCCTGACTTCCTGATTCCAAAATCCAGTGGGCATCTGCCTGCCCTTATGAAATATAGACTAAAAGGGGAGACAGTAACATGCCATGAGTATTACAAAAAGGGCAGATGCCATCAGGGTAGACAGTGGGGCTGGGCGTGGTGACTCACGCCTGTAACCCCAGCACTTTGGGAGGCAGAGGTGAGAGGACTGCCTGAGTCCATGGGTTCAAGACCAGCCTGGCCAACTTGGCAAGACCTCATCTCTACAATAAATCACAAAATTAGCCAGGTGTGGTAGCACCCACCCATAGTTCCAGCTACTTGGAAGGCCAAGGTGGAAGGATCACCTGAGCCCAGCAGGTTGAGGCTGCAGTGGCCATGAGCATGCCACTGCACTCCAGCCTGGGCAACAGAGTGAGACCCCGACTACAAACATGCAGAACTACCTAACAGTGTGGGAAGAGAGGATAGTGTAGAAAGAACACTGAGGCCTAGATCTGAAAGGTGAGCAAGAGTCAGCCGGGCAGAGGGGCACGCATGCTGGTCACTGTGTCACAACTGACCCCCCCCTTCCAAAAGAGACCCGATTGGTAGCACTTGCCAATCTCCATGGTGGGTTTCAAGCTGCCAACAGTTTCACAACCAGCAAACAAAGATTCCTGGAAACTTAGCAGTCAGGCTCTCCTGTGTCACTGGAAAGACCGTTTTTCAGGGAGAGCCATGGCAAGTTCGAAGGCTGTGAGGTGAGAAAGGATGGACGCACCACTCAAGGCAAGTGAAGAAGGTCAGCGACCCCCAGGAGCTGGGGTCAGATGAGGCTGGGACTTCAACTCGGCCTGGAGTCAAGTGAAAAACGGTAATCTTGATCTAAAATCGATCTGCATATCAGTCAGTACAGCAAGTCCCCTACATATGAACGAGTTCCATTCCTGATAGTGAGTTCCTGAGTCCAACAAAGTTCGCCTATATAGCCTAACACAACCAGCTATATAGTACTGTACTTTGATAGGTCTATAACACTTTTCACACAAATAATACATTTTAAAAACACAAAAAATAAAGAAAGCACTTTAAATCTCACAGTACAGTACCTTGAAAAGAACTGCAATTCACATCAGACACATGAAATAACTTTTGCGACTGGACATGCAAATGCATGTTCACATCTTTGAAGGTTTGCAACTTGAAGGTTTGTATGTAGGGGACTTACTGTATTTTGATTGAAAGGCAGAAGGAAGACAGTGAAGGGTTTTAAGCAGAGGAAAGAGTGAGTAGAATCTTTTTTTTTTTGAGTTGGAATCTCACTCTGTCACCCAGGCTGGAGTACAGTGGCATGCTCATGGCCACCCCAGTGTCGACTCACTGGATTCCAGAGATCTTTCTGCCTCAGCCTTCCAAGTAGCCAGAACTCCAGGCACGCACTACCATGCCCAGCTAATTTTTTAAATTCATGGTAGAGATGAAGTCTCACCAAGTTGCCCAGGCTGTTCTTGAACCTGTGGGTTCAGGCAATCCCCTCACCTCGGCCTCCCAAAGTGCTGGGCTGACAGGCTTGAGCCACCACGCCCGGCCTAGAATCTTATTTTTTTAACGTCCATTCTGGCCGCAGTGTGGAGAATGAACTGCAGGGCTGCAAAGACGGGTCAGGAGGAGGCTTACTGTTGCCGCCCTGGACGTGCTGCTATTCCCATCAGCCAAGGTGCGAGCCTGAGGGGAGGGAGGGAGGGAGGCAGATGCACTAGAAGAAGGAACGAAGGGAGGACGGGGAATCCACCCCGGGATTTTTCTCCACGAAAGACTGAGCAGACTAAGTACGTTTGATGGGAAGGGGAAGGGCGAAGAGGGCAGTGTGTGAGCTGAGGATTATTTGTGAAGCACCTTGTATATGAGAGGATGCCATGCAAGACAAAGTCTCGGTTCTCATACAGTTCACATCCGAGTGGTGGAGAATAAGTGTCAACATATTTTTTAAAAAGGGACTGTACATACCCCATTATAAAGTAAATTTTCCCCAAAATTATTCCTCAGGAAAAAGGAAGCTGACTTATAACTTTTTGACGTCTTTTAAATTAAAGAGTATTCATGCAAGTATGTTAATCTAAATAATGGTACTTTTTGAAAAAAAACACAAAAGTTGGAATTAACCTCAATTAATACTAGTTTTGAATACCTTTTAGGCCTTCTGAAACAATCACTTAAAATGAGAGAAATCTAATTCAGATTTAGTAATTATTCCTGGGGGGCTCTTAACTCAACAATTACATTTTAGATGTCATTATAAATGGACACAGAGCAACTGACCTAGAGCCAAAGGAAATAAGTCTTTATAAAGGCCCTTAAATAAGGCAATGAACGTTACACTATTGAACTTACAATTATATGTGACTAAAATGGATTTCTTAAAATGTCTTACTACATGCAAATGGTATTTTTGGTTTGTCATAGAATTTCCAGTGAGTGGCCCATGCCTGTAATCCCAGAACCTTGGGAGGCTGAGGTAGGATAATTGCTTAAGCCTAGAAGTTTGAGATCAGCCTGGGCAAAATAGTGAGACCTTGTCTCCACAAAAAGTTAAAAAATTAGGCAGGCGCTGTCTCAAAAAAAAAAAAAAAAAAAAAAAAAAATTCCAGTGCACATTAGAAAGGATTCTGTGTATCTGAATTTATGCAAAGCTGCTGTGGTTTGAAAAAATATTAGATCACTCAAACTAATTTCAGTAATAACAAAGATAATAATAGTGTCAAAATGCATGTGGAGATTTTAAATAAATGTGTTTCATAAAATGTAAAAGTGGAAGATGACAGTATTTCTACTTGGAATTATTTTTTATTTATTATATCCAGAATATACACTGGAAGATAGTATTTCTAAATTAATATATCAGACTATGTCATCTATCCAGCAGACTGCTGGTTTCTGATCTCATATCAAGTCTCTCTCCCTTACGGAATCCAGTGTGACGTGGGACCGCCATGTGCCCAGCCAAGCGTGCATTTCCAGGCCTCCTGGGATGAGGTCACAGCCCAAGCTCTGATCACGAGATGTAAGCAGAAATGCTGTGCAGGCCTCCAGGAAAGCTCTGTCAATAAGGGGCTTCCTTGCAGTTGTGGATGTGGAAAATGCTCATCGTCCCTGGTCCCATGGGAGGACGGCAACACTGTGTCTTGAGACCAGAGCGCTCTCTCGAGACACAAGGTCAGATGTAATGATGCACCGTTCTGGAACATGGCCACCTGAACGTCCCTCAGACTCGCCATCCTTAGGCTGAACTCATTCCCTCGGTGATTCTCCAGCAATTTCTTTCTTTCTGTCTGTCTGTCTGTCTATCTATCTATCTATCTATCTATCTATCTATCTATCTATCTGTCTGTCTCACTCTGTCACCCAGGCTGGGCTCTGGCGATCCCTCTGCCTCAGCCTTCCAAGGAACTGGAACCACAGGCACGTGCCTCCACGCCCGACTAACTTTTCGATTTATTGTAGAGACGAGGTCTGCCCTGTTGCTCAGCCTGGTCTCGAATCCCTGAATTCAGGCAATCCTCTCATCTCCACCTCCCAAAGTGCTGGGGTTACAGGCATGAGCCACCATGCCCGGCCCTCCTCAGCAATTTCTATGCACTTAATGGCACCATCATCCACTCCAGCCAACAAAGCCAGGAACTTGGGAGTCATGTCTCCTCTCCCTCATTCTCAGTGTCTTATCAATCTCTAAACCTTTCTCCCAGATGCCTCTCTGGGCCATACTGGTGCTACCGTCTTAACTCAGGACATCACCTCATACTGTTCTGAGGATAATAGTTTCCAGGGCAGTGTCACTGTTTCCCGACTCTATCCTAAGAGCCCACCTCCACCCTTCTGCCCAGGTGACCTCAACGTTTAAAATTTTATTTTTTATTATTATTCTTGGTAGGAATCTCACTCAGTCGCCTAGTCTGGAGGGCAGTGGTTCATTGCAGCCTTGACTTCCTGGGCTTGGGCAACCTTCTGCCTCAACCTCCCAGGTAGCTGGGACTACAGGCTTGCGCCACCGTGCCCTGGATAATGCATTTTTTTTTATACAGATGGGTCTCACGATTGTTGCCCAGGCTGTTAAAATTCCTGGGCTCAAGCGATCCTCCAGCCTCAGCCTCTCAAAGGGCTGAGATTACGGGCATGAGCCACCATGACCAGCCAGATTTAAAATTTTTTGTTTTTTGAGTCAGAGTTTCACTCCACTGCCCAGGTTGGAGTGCAGTGTCACACTCACGGTCACCCCAGCATCGACCTGCTGGGCTCTGGTGATCCTTCTGCCGCAGCCTTCCAAGTAGCTGGAACTACAGACGTGTGTTACCATGCCCAGCTAATTTTTTGACTTATTGTAGAGAGGAGGTCTCGCCAAGTTGCCCGGGCTGGTCTCAAATTCTTGGGCTCAGACAATCCTGTCGCCTCAGCCTCCCAAAGTGCTGGGATGACAGGCGTGAGTCACCACATCCGGTTGTCCTATCCCCTCTAAACCTCTGACCACCTCAGTAAAACATGGTCACATCCTCTTCTGTGCCACCAAAGCGCCTTGTAACACCTGTGGGATGCGCTATACCACATCTATCCCTGAAATGTAATCTTCGGCCTGTTTCACTCTCTTTACCTGTGTCTATTTCATCTCTACAGACCTGGGAACTAAAGAAAGGTTTGCTGGGGCCAGGCTCGGTGGCTCGGCCTGTAATCCCAGCACTTTGGGAGGCCGAGGTGAATGGATTGCCTGAGCCCGTGGGTTTGAGACCAGCTCGGGCAACTTGGCGAGACCTTGTCTCTACAATAAATCAAAAAATGAGCTGGGCTTGGTGGCACGTGCCTGTAGTTCCGGCTACTTGGAAGGCCGAAGCAGAGGGATCCCCGGAGTCCAGCAGGTCGAGGCTGCGGTGGCCGGGAGCGTGCCACTGCACTCCAGCCTGGGTGACAGACTCCAACTCAAAACAAAAAAAAGAAATGTTTGTCAGATAAATGTTTCCTTCCTTCAACCCATTCACCATCTCACAAATGAACTTTTGGAACACAATTTGCTTTCAAATTGAAAGGGAAAAGTCTAAATCTGGTAGTGTAAGCAATACCCTCGACTCCATTGAGTCTTTGCAGGAGAAACACGATGGAATTTAGAGTCAAAATGTCTGAGTTCAATTCTACCCTTTGCTGGGGATTCTTGCACAAATTACTAAAGCTTTCTGAATTTTAGTTTCCTCAGTGCCGAAAGTGAAATCTGGGCACACAGAGATCATTATTGCTATAGAAAAAGTACTTTTTAAGACCATGTGTGGTAGCTCACACCTGTAATCCCAGCACTTTAGGAGGTGGACGCAAGAGGATTGCCTGAGCCTAGGGGTTTGAGTCCAGCCTGGGCAATTTGGTGAGACTTCATCCCTACGATAAATCAAAAAATTTCTGGGCGTGGTGGTGTGACTGTAATTCCAGCTGCTTGGAAGGCTTAGGTGGTGGGATCGCCTGAGTCCAGCGGGTTGAGGCTGTGGTGGCCTTGATTGTGCCACCGCACTGCAGCCTAGGTGACAGAGTGAGACTCTGAAGGAAAAGACTTTTCAAATATTCTAACAGCACTTACTGTGAGGTATTTGGCTAAATATTTTACATACAGTATTTCATTTAATCTTCACAACAATCCCATTATGTACCTAGTGTTACCTTCATATCCCAACACTTATTTCATTTATTATTTTTTTGGAGACGGAATCTCGTCCTGTTGCCCAGGCTGGAGTGCCGTGGCGCGGTCGTGGCCGCTGGAGCCTCCAACTCCCGGGCTCAAGCGATCCTCCGGCCTCAGCCTCCCGTGTAGCCGGCATTACAGGCGTGCCCCACCATGCCCGGCTAATTTTTATCTCTGTGTTACAGACGGGGTCTGGCTGTGTTTCCCAGGCTGTGGTCGCAAGCATCCGTGCCGACGGCGGGAGGTAAGTGCAAAGCCCGCAGAGCCCCCCGGAGCCCCCCGCCCCCATACCCACCATGACGAACTCGTCCTTCCGATAGGCCTGGAAGGTCTGGTCGAACCCGAACGCCTGCGCCTTGATTCTGCCCAGCATGGACCTGGGCGGGGAGGAAGAGCCGTGGGCCTGGGCGGCCCCGCGCGCCCCCCGCCGCACGCCCCCCCGTGCCCCGGCCGCCCCCCGGCCGCCGCCCGGCCCGCCGCCGCGGGCTCACTCGCGCCGGGCTCCGGGCCCTCACCACTGGCGGAGCCGGCCGGCGGTCTCCGGGGCGCTCAGGGACGGGAAGGGCCGCTGGGGCAGGAACCTGAAGCTGTAGCCGCGCAGGCCCCCGGGCTCCCCCGCCGCCATCGCGCTCCCGGCCCGGCGGGGTGGAGGGACGCGCGGTTTCCAGGGAGAC